ATCTCACCAAAACACAGATATGGGACAGGACAACGCTATTTCTAAGGGCTGCAGCCAGTATGAAACAAGCAGGGCAGCTCCTCCCAGCCACAGCCTGAAATGTGCCCAGCACACGTTCTGAATAATCAAAGCTAATCACAACAAACGTGCCCCTGCCCCACAGAGGTGGGGTGGAAAGAGTGTGCCCACGCCCTGCACGTCTCCCTCAGTCCCACGGCCGCCCAGATTCCTCCTCTTAATTGCACAACCCGGGAAAAGCCAGTTCAGCATCACGCCACTTCTTCCCCTCCCGAGCTCCGAGCCGAAGGAGCAGGAGGAGGGAAGGGGATGAGCACGACCCGCTGCTCCTGTGGATGGACAAACATCCCAGTCCCTTTGCACGGTGGTGCCTCGAGACGACGGGACTGGGGACAGCGGGGGCACCCGGAGACAGGGCTGCGCCTCTCCCCGCAGCTGGCGACAGCACGGGTATTCTGCTACAGAAGATAATATTTAGGGAGCTTTTGGCCTTCCAGCAACGCTGGGGACTGGCTGACAGCTGCCACCGCAGCGCTGACGACGAGCCCTGACACCAGGCCGGCCTCCTGAAAGGGAGTTATTCTTCAGGCTTTCATTTGTTTTGCCGCTGGAGAGGGCACACGCGGCTCCGGCGTTTGCCAGCTCACGTCCTTCCACCCACTGCCCGGGCGCTCGCTGCGATTACGAGCGGTTGAGAGCGGCTCCGGAGCTCCCACGCAGAACAACATGTTGCATCTCTGCTGCAAGAGGAAGAGATGCTCCGGATTCACCAACAGCAACAGCATCACAGCAGGGAATGGGAGAGGGAGGGAAAAAAAAACAACACAACCCCAAAAAAAAATTAAAAAAAAATAAAAATCTTTTTCTGGGCAACATTTGTTCCCAGCGCATACATTCAAAATAAGTGTTTAACTGCGATGGACTGTGGTTGAGCTAATTGGTCCTGTGGTTGAAACAGTCAGAGCTGGCTTCCTGTCTGAGCACAGGCGAGCCTCCCCGGGAGGGATCGCGGGGCTCGGAGAGGCAACCACCAATTTGTTTCCTCCACTGGAAGACCATTTTCCCCATCCTTCTTTCCCAAAAAAAGCATACGCTACAGGCAGAAGAGCTGGCCAGGGCAGGGAGGGAAAGGGCTGCTCCCGCTGGGCCCGCTTCCTGGTGCATGTTACCAGCTTGGAGAAAAATCTGTCACTTCTGTTCCACCCTGCATGGGGGATCACTTGAGTTTTTCCAGGCTAAAGGTAAAATAATTGAATGACAAAAACAGACAAGGAAATTTAACCCTGGAACTTCCAAATGGTGCTGCTTGGCTGGGAAAAAAAAAAAAACCCAACAGGGCAAGAGGAATGTCCAAATCCAAACAAACCCCAGTTTCCACTGGAATTGAGCCATGGAAACGTTTTCCTTGAGAGTTTCATTAAAAGAAAATATAAGCCTATGCTTAGGACCTGCAACTGCTCTGCCCCTGCCACGGCAGACAGAGCTGTCCTCAGCCCACCCCTCCTGCCCATCTTTCATGGACTGAGGTGTAACACCGACCCCTCACACGCAGGGCTGTGCAATCAGCAAGAGAAAACACGAGCGTACAGAAAGCAGCAGAAATGCACAAGGTTTATCACAACCCAGGCCTTGTGGTAGGACCAGGCTTGGTCCAAAGGTCCTTTCTCCTCCCGCAGAGCCCGGAGCAGGACACAAGAAAGCAGCCGTGTGTAAACAGGTAGTGCTCCCACGAAGCTGCCAAACTGGCCAGACCCCCCCCAGCTCAGCACCTCGCTGTGACAAAAAAATACCCACCACTATTGTCTCTTCCCAGCAAGGAAGATGTTGTTCAGCTTTTCTGCTGTATAAAGTGGTGTTTTTTCTGTCAAGGCCTTCTAAGGGGCATTAATTTACAGTGAAGCTACCAGGAGAAGCTCTAGATACCAATCACTGACATGAAGGGGCATCTTCTCAGGACCACAGCCACAGCATCCAGGTGTCACCATTCCCAAATCCCCTGTCCATGCACAAGGTCACAGTGTGCACACAAAGCAAACAGCGTGGCATTTTCAGAACTTGGGGCACAACATTAAATTCTTATTTCAGCCCAACCTTAAGGCCAAGGACTCCTCATATGCACGTGTTGGAGAGCACGCGGCTGCCTCATTTAGAGACCAAGCAATTGCCTTGGCATCTCCACCTCAGACAACGGGTTAATGCAGCTCGTTAAGAGACAGCATTTCGGGAGGTCGACAGGTTTTATTTAAAAAGAGAGAAAGCAACAGATTTGGGGACTTGAAAAAGCTTCTCAGAAGCAACACAGTCTTACAGTCTCGGTCTCACATCTCATCCCATTTATTCTCCTACGCATCTCCCGTTGCTTCTCCATCGCTTCTCCTTCCAGCTTTTTGAGCTTCCTCCAGAGCTTCTGCATTTTCCTGCTGCATTTCACGCGCTTTCTGGCTTCCTCTGGCACGTGGTGGTTGGGCTGTTTCCCGCCCAACATACCAACATCTCTGCTAACACTGCCAGCGTCAGCTCCAGCACACGGCCATCGCCTGTGCCAGCTCAGCACCGGCCAGAGCAGGCAACGGAGAAGCTCTGAGTTTTGATTTATGGAAGTATTTCATAATCAAACCAAACTTCAATGAAGACAACTGGCCTCGGGTATCCAGAAGCGATGCCTGCAGACCAAACTTGAACACAGCAGTGGTGAGCCACTGTCCCAGGGCAGAAAACTTCAGTCTCCAGGCTCTGAAGCCAATCTCTCTCACAAGCCCCACATTCACACAAACAAAGGCGGTCTTGAGCACCGCTGGTGTGATCCTGCTGCCTTAGAGGCAGATTTCTATGGGCCAAGCTTCCTTTCATTCGCTTTTGTTGGTCATTTCCAACAGCAGCACTTCAAGGGAACTTTATTGTGCTGGAGACAGAGGCGTTCTGGAGGACTGCACAAGGGAAGCGTGCATCTGGGGAGTTTTGAAAACACATTATCCAAACCTAAGGGTCACTGCATTCCAGGATGTCAGTGTCAGCTGGACGCTTATAAATAGCTTCACCAATCCAAACAGCATGACCTATTGTATCTCAAAAACCTCCTTCGGAGGCTGTTTCAACATTGCTTCCCACTGCAGATCCAAACAGCTGATAAAAATAAATGAATTTATCATCACCTCTTTTTGGCAGTAACGAGCTATTTCCACCCAGACTTCATGCTCAGGAAGCTAAGGCACAGTGACATAAAAGTGGCATCAAGCAAGCTGTAGAGCCTGCAGAAAGAACAGCTGGGAACACCTTCATCATGAGGTTCCTGTGATACTGCTGGAGGAACAGCCTCAGAGCTGAGACATTCACCAAGGATAAAGGAAACTGCAGCTGGGACAGTTCTCTGCCCTACACCAAATGGAAAGGAGACACGGCTCTCCCACCCGATCTGTGGTTCCAGGCAAAAGGCAAACTAGTCCCAAGCAAAGACCAGCACAACCCAGAGGGATCTACTGGGCCCTCAGATCCCTCTGCGCTCACCCTGGCTCCCCGCACAAAGCGGGCGGATTTTCTCCTGATGGAGTTGGGCACCAAAGTCCTGTTGGAGCCCAGCCACTTCACTTCGGTGCCCAAAATGAGAGCCAAGCACCTTTGGGAACTTCCCCCCCGCCGCCTTTCTTTTTATAAATAAAAGTGACAGAATATTTACACAAGTTCACCAAACCTTCAAATACGCACACCAAAGAACACAAGATTAAGTTTCATTGTCTCCCGGGCTAGGCAATATCTTAGCTCCTTGTAACACCTATGAAAGTTTGCAGAGACACACCAAATTAAGGTTAAAAGTATTTATATATGATATAAACACAGAAAGAGTTGTCATGAGACAGTTAAGATGTTTCCATTCCCTGCCACTGAAGCTTTACCTTAATCTGCTCTCCCAGAGTCTCAAAGCATTGGCTTTCCCAAATAAGAGCCCACAATCAATTTTCCTTTATGCAAGTCTTAAGTAAGTTACAGTCTTGCAAATTCATTCTTGAGCTGGAAACTTTTGGGCCAGAATTCAAAGAAATGAAGCAGAGTTTGAGATTCTTGGCAGTAAGTAGTTTACAGAGAAAACAGTAGCAGGGACTTGTTTGTGCTCAAACGGCATGCCTATAATTCAGACATCCACCACTGCTGTTCCCATTTATTTAGCAATATCACACCAGACATTTTTGACTTTTGAGAGCTATGCTATTTAGTGCGGTAAAGATGTTTTTAGCCCCGAGAGGCTGCGAGACGCATCACCGAGCTATTTAACGGGAGCAGCCTTCCAACGACAACAAAAAACTCAAGCCTTAGACAAAGAATAGTTTGAAGCTGACACAGATTTTAGCCAGATTGACTTCCGATAGCAGTTATACAACATGTGAGCTGCAGCGAGGCGGCGGTGCGCGGGTCACGCTCCATATTTGCCGTACAGCATTCCTCAGACAGCGGCTCACCGCTCACCCTCAAGGGTTTGCTGTGTTTGAATCAGTCTGTCTCTCAGGCACTATACACACACCGTTAAGTTACTCGCTGTTTCAGTGTTTGGTTACCACCGGTGTGTAAACAGTTCTCATTTAGGAAGGTCTGACCCCGTTCCTTCCCGCCCCTGGTTGCGGGGTGCGCTCTGCCCGCAGGGACGGGGACACCGGGCACCCTTGGGGAGCGCCTCCCGCACCCGAGCAGAGCTCACGGAAGGTCTGCGTTACCGGTTTCATCATCACACCGAGCACCGGCGGCCTCGGAGCCTCCCAACCCACGCCGGGACCTTCCCGCACGGACTCTCCCCGCACCGGACACCGGTTTCGCCCCTTTCCCAACGCCGAGCCCCCCTCCCCGCCTCCGCTGACCCACGGACAGCCTCCCCCGGCTGCCGGGGGGATGATTTTGGGGTGGGTTTTTTTCCCCACGCCCTCGAAGGGGAAAAAAAACCCACCCAACCCAGCAATCCTCCCCCCCCGCCCGAGGAGAGAGGGGCCGGTGCTCACCGAGAAGCGCTCCAGGTCGGTGGCGGCCATGGCCGGGGCTGGCGCGGCTCTCCCCGGCGCGGCGGGATGCGGCTGAATGGATCCAATATGGCCACTTCCTGGAAACTCCCCCCCGCCCGCCGCAGGCGCCGCCCGCCGGACCGACAGACCCACCGGGGGACGGGCACCGGCACCGGCCGGGGGCGGGACGGGGGCGGGGGCGGACGGGCTGCGGCCCGGCCCCTTCCCTCCGCCCTCCCGCTGCCGCAGCCGGGGAGCGGGGCCGGGGGAGGCCCCGGGGGTCCCCGCGTCCCCCCCCAGCCCCGGGAGCGGGGGAGCTGCGGGGAGGGGTGGGAGGGGGACCCGGCCCCGGTGCCGTTCCGTTCCGTTCCGTTCCGTTCCGCAGGTGGGGGGGCTGGGAGAGCCGTGCGGGAAACCTTAACGCAGACATTAGTCACTGAATCACAGAATGGTCTCGGTTGGAGGGGACCTTTCAGATCATGGAGTCCAACCATCAGCCCAGCACTGACCAACCCACCACTCACCCGTGTCCCGGTCTCGGTTGGAAGGGACCTTTCACATCACGGAGTCCAACCATCAACCCAATGCTGGCAAACCCACCGCTGACCCGTGTCCTCCAGCACCACCCGTGTCCCTCAGCACCACCCGTGTCCCCCAGCACCACCCGTGTCCCCCAGCACCACGTCTGCCCGGCTTTGAAATCCCTCCAGGGATGGGGACTCCACCACTGCCCTGGGCAGCCTCTGCCAAGGCTTCACAACCCCATCCATGAAGACCTTTTTTCCCAATATCCATCCTAACCCTCCCCTGGTGCACCCTGAGGCCGTTTCCTCTTGTCCCATCTCCTGTTCCCTGGGAGAAGAGACCGACCCCCCCTGGCTACCCCCTCCTTTCAGGGAGGGAACTGTATTAAGCTTTAAGTGTGACCACAGAGGTCCCAGGAGCATCCTCGGCAGGGTTTGGAGGGTGCACACAGGTGACAGAGACCCATTTCCCCCCCTCGAGGAGCTCTCAAGCCCTGAGCACTCTGGAAGGCCACCAGATACCCGGCCTCTGCACCAACTTGTCCCATTGCAGGTGGGAGTTAAACCAAAGCTGCAGCCTGAGCGTGGGTCTGATCCAGGAGCCGAGGGCTCGTGGCCGTTACGCTGCCGGTGTTGGTGGCAAGTTGCAGGAGATGGTCGAGCCTTTCCTCATCATTCCTTCCCACATCAAGCACAAAGCCAATCCCGTTGCCCTCAGCCTCCCTAACCCACAAAGACACTGGTATTTTACAGGCTGTGAGCACAGAGCAAAGGTTTTCTTGCTTTCTGGTGCCCTCTGCTGCAGTGCACGGGCCAAGGAACAAACAGCTCACCAGCACCACACATTCTCCTGCTCCCTGCTGGACCAGCCCTGCACCCCAAATCCCTCTGCTGCCCTGGTTCTGCCTCCGCCTGTCCCCCCATCCTTCCATCAGCCACCGAGCCCTCCTCTTTTATCCCCATCCCCTCTCTTGGAGCAACGCACGCTTCCAGCTGGAGAGCTGAGTTTGGGCAAGGAGATCAAATACGTCCCCTCCAACACTGGCTCTGCGTGGGGAAAGGGCTGCTGAGGATCATTTTGAACCCCCCCAGGAAGGAGAACTCACTGCACATGAGAGTCAGAGAAATGCTACCGTCTGCGCAAAAGGGAAGCCGTTAATCTGTGATTCCCGAGGAAACAGCAGAAATTCCCCTGAAGAAATCAAGGCAACTCTGAGAAGGGGCTGAGGCTTGGTGTTCCCCTCCTCAGGTAGGGCCAGAACCTGCCATCCCCTCTGTGTTGTCGTTGCTGGTGAGGGTTGTCCTTCAAGAATCAGTTCCCAGCCTGAACTTCCCTAAATCATGGCAGATGTGGGATGCTAATCCCATCACACAACATAACCACCTCCCAGGGAACGGACAAGGGAGAAGTTACCTGGAGTGACTCTGTCCTGGAGACTCTTCCTTGTCATCTCAGGTGCTCCTAGATCATCTCCATCGTCCTGCACAAAGGAGGGCCACAAAGCCAGTCGTTAGCTAATTACCATACAGCTACAGCTCCAAGCCCCCCCCCGCAATACTAGGAAACAGTGAGCAACTCTGCTCAGGCCCTGCTTCCAGTTATTTTTCAAAAGGTTTGCCAAATCTCAACTTTTTGGCAAGATAAGGAAAAGGAAAGATAGCCAATATCCCAGTTCCTTTCATTCATCGCCCACAAAAGCGCAGTCCCTGGAGGGCCCTAAAGCAGGACTGAAGCATTCAAAGACAATCAAAGCTCAGCGACCAAATTAAAACAGGAGTTACGCTTCGTTACAATGCTCCGTGGGCTGCACTTCACGTTAAGGGCTGCCTTCTCCCTCACCTGCTCTTCGAGGGCTTAACAAAGGCCTGTGGCAATATAACCCGATGAAACCACGCTGCGCAGGGGGACACGATTGTATGTTCCACCACCACATCTTCAATTGTCCCCAAGACACCTTGGGATCCACCCGCGTTGTGCCACAGGAGCTCTGGTGGACACCATCCATCCCAGAAGGGGACTGTGCTGATGCTGGAGAAATAAAACAGGATGTGAAAATTAGAGTCAGTAATCGAAAGGAGGGAGGCAAAGGTTATCAAACGCGAGTGGTTAGAGGGGTCGGAGAGCAGGAAGAAGGTTGTATTCTCTCACGAAGCAATTTCAAGGCATTTTCTGAGTGTTACCCAAGTGATCTGCTTTGTGTAATATGATAAATCCGGTGCAGGTCAGAAGAGCTGTTTTTCTGTCCTTCCTGAGCAGACTGCCTACAACCAAATTAATTCTGCTCGTCCGTGTATCAGTGCTGGCTAAAGACAGGTTGCAAAAATGTTGTGTTTCTCTAAAAAGGCCATTGCTGAACGCCATCTGTTAACTTATTTTCTCGGGTCACCAAAAATGACAAAAAAACAACCTCCCAGCTCTTTGCTAATGCTGCCTTGTGCCAGAGCTGCCAGGGCTACCAAAGCTGCTCCTTGGCATCTAGAGCTGAGTCTCCCTCCAGCCGCAGCGCTGATATAACCCTGCTGAACCTTTCCTTCCTTTACCCCTTCCAGGCAGGTGTTGGTGCAGACCAGACGCTCACTTTACCCTCTTGTTTCTTTGGCCAATCCCCAAAGATTCTCCATTTCTCCCTGGAACCTTCAGCAAACCCCAGGAAGCTCAAATCCTGTGTTTCTGGCACACAGATCCAAGTAGAATAGTCTATATAGAAACAGAGTTAACTTTCCAGGTCTTCTTTATGTATCACAAAGAAGCAAAAAGAAACAGATAAAAAGGTTAAAAAGTTACTTGTCTTTTTCTTCTTTCCTTTTTTTTTTTTCCCACTAGAGGCACGCTTTGGAGTCCTGATTGAAGACAACGTAAAACTGCTGCTTAACACACACTTAAATGCCATTATATCAGGTACTTTGGGAGAAGTGATTGACTTCAATTCATTAAGAGCTCTTTTCCCTGCCAATAAAGTGCAGAATTAACAACAGGGGGCTCACAAAAGCTGATTCCCAGAGAGCTCCAGGTCTCCGTGAGCTGCAGGTCAGATTCGGGGCATAAAGGGAATTCTGAGACGTCGCAACAGAGGAAGGGACAGCGCTGCTGTCACCTGGGTCTGAGCTGTCCTGCTCTGACCTTCTGCAGCTGGAGCCCTCTCTCCCTTTTGCCTTCAGAGATGCCACCAGCGTGGGGTGGCTCTCGGGGACAGAACAGCACTGTGGAAAAGCTCGTGGTTATTTTTAAACACCTTGTTATTTCAAAAAGCAGACTATTTCTAATGCCAATTCAAGAGAAACCCTGCTAATTCCCAAAGCTTCAGGTGCATAAAAACTACTTCCAGGGAAGGGAATTGGATTTGGCGGCTCCTTTAACTGCTACGGCATCAATTGTTATGCAAATTATTCCTAATGGTTTTGGAACCAAACATACAGTACAGTGCTGGATGCTCCTCTCTGAAAAATACTTGTACTTGCTGAATCCACAGTGAATTTATCCTGCCAGAAATCCCAGAGTTCCCAGGCAGTATCTGAAAACCAGAGGATGTTTGGTGTGGGGCCTTCTGCCTGGAACAAGCAGTATTTAATAAATGCACATTCTGAGATACCTGGAAAACTGCCTTTGAATGGTTGCTGTTGAGAAACATTGGCTGAAATGGTTGCTGAGGTCCTTGAGTTACAGCTGAACCTTGCTCATTTATGAGAAAATGCCTGTTATCTGCAAATAATCTCCCCCCTCTGCCTGCCCCTTGACAGACTTTTGCTCAGCTGTTGATCTATGGAAGGTTACTGCATTTCTCCATGGAACAAAGGAAGAGCTATTTTCCTTCACAATGCCTGCTCTTTGTTTCACACGAAAATATCAACAAGGAAAGTGGGAAATCATGGGCTTTGTCATCCTATTTATTCTGGGAACCCTGATTTCATTTCAGAGGAAAATAAGTTTTCCCTGAGCTACAAATCCCAACCACAGCCAACAGCACCTAAGCTTCACCTTTCTGCAAAGCACCAGCGCTCTGTCCGACTGGGAATATCCCCCATATTCCCTTTTTCTCCCTCCCCTGCTTCCAACCTGGCACCTCACCTTCCCCGTGGGGAAGGAGCAGGACCTGGGATGCTGCCTCCTTCAGTTTTGAAGTATCAGTAGAAGCTCCTTCACTCTGACTTGATGCTTTGCTTGATCTCCCACTTTATTTCCTGCTTGTGTGTGGTGTGAATAATTACAGCCATGTAACCTTTCCCTTCCCGAGGGGGTGGCAAAAGGCCCCAGGGTCTCTCTGTGCCCATTACTGCCCTGTAAAATTGATAGTTTGAGAATTTGTGAAACTTCTCCACGGGGAAGAAAACTCTGCTCAGTCCAAAATAGAGGCCAGCTCTCTACAGCTTATGACGTAGAACTAGCAAACTGCAATATTTGTGTTTTAAAAAAGTAGTAGTAAATTAATTTAATCATGGGTTTCTGTACATTGTTTTTGTCCCAGCCAGTAAATTATAAATATCAAGACAGTTGGCTTGAAATCTCCTACGAAGCAGCCCACAGCCTTCTGTAAATAGCTCCACAAAAAAAAAAAAAAAAATATATATACTTGCTTTGTAGGTTTTTGGTGACACAGAAAAAGAGGCAAAACTTCTCATGCTTTTTAAGGCTGGGAATTTCAGATGGCTGACAAGCATAACACCCATAATGCTCCAGGCTTTTATTGCCTATATTAGTAAAATTAATTCAGACAGCTTAATTTCTGCTGCACAACCTGAAATAAGAAATTATTTCAGGGAAATAAGAGGAGCTCACTGGGAAGTGGTGCCCTGGTGCCTGGCACTCAGCCTGAAAGGTGGGCAACCAAAAGCCATGGACAGAGAGAGGGAAAGGCTGGCAAACAGGATGCGCCCCATGCTGCGGTCTGGAAATGGTACTCAGGATTAGCCACAAGTGTTGTTACCTCCCTAATTACAGAAAGCGTAGGACTAACACACCCACTGACTGTGAAAAGGAGCACAACCACACGGCACGGGCTGCCCACAAAGGAGCGCACGTGGGGCAGGCGCTTGGATGCATCACTGGAAAATTACCTGGGGAAAGAGCTCCTTGTGTCAGGGCAGTGAAACGAGAGCAACCAGTTCACCCCCAGCATGGCACCAGGTGTGCTTGGAGATGTCCTCTCTCTCTCCTCTTGTAGGACCTCCTGGGGACATGCCCTTCTGCTCCACAGCCACAAGGAACTCCAGGACCTGCAGTGGGGAAGGGGCTCAGTAACACCCCTCCTTTGGGACCCCGACCCAACACGAGCCCTGGGAGAGGTGATGGGAACTCGGCGACTTCCCCCTTAACATTTGCAGCATAAGAAAATGTTGTTTGGTTGTTTTTTTCCAAAAGAGCCTATTCTTCTGAATTATTTTCCCTCCTTCTCACTCATTTGCAGATATGAGCTGTAATCCTAGGGTACAGCTGAAAGTTTGCAATGCGAAAATCACAGACTGCTGAGATTTTCTTACGCCTGCAGTGGATTCTAGCAAGGAAAAGAAATCAACACTGAAAGCAAGGCGCAGCAATTAACATTTGGATGCGTGCTCATTATTAGCTCTCTGCAGCCACCGAGGCGGAGCGGCGGCGATGCCATAAGCTAGAAAGCATCGCTAATGCAGCAAAACACACCACACAAGTGGGGGCCTCAGCAGAGGGCGAGGTGGCCACGTACACCCCGTGAAAAGGCAGTAATGGAGAGGTGTGCGACTCACGCAGACACACTGAATTGCTACCAGCAGCATGAAGATTACACGCTATTATGGGAAAGAACATTAAGAGCAGCAAAAAAAAAACAATTTTGAGGAACTGGCTCGGCGCCAGCGTGCCCCACGATTTTGAGGAACTGGCTCGGTGCCAGCGTGTTAGCAAGAGATAAAATAGCTTTTCAGAGATTTGCACGGAGATGGAGAGAGAGAAGGGGAAAAGGCTGCCGAAGGAGGACTCTGAGCATTCTGTGGGAAGAGGCTCCTCCACCATCAGGAGAAAGTGTGAAGAGGCAGAAGGGAGGTCAGCGCCAACGAGAAGGGAGAGAGATGCACTGCCTGGGGATCAACGCACCTCGAATTGTCTTCAAAATGGAGACTCTGGCACAGGCTGATACTCCATTTTATTCAGGTTCTAAGGCAGGGAAAACAAAAACGGATCTATTTTCCATTTTCTCCTCCATCCTTGTACACACAGTAACTTTTATCTGTCTTCGTACCGCACTGACTCTGCTCACTCTGTGCTCGGTCTCTCTCGCTGTTTTCCTCGACAAACTGTTCAGTTGTTGGGGAATCAATTTCAGAGATCTCAGTTGCAACACTCCCTGGAGGAGAAAACAAGTTTGCAGGCTGAACGTCACCCCTCCGGGAGGTCTTCAGCCCAACTCCTTTACCCAGGGAAAGGCACTTGTCTGGGATTTTTATATTATTTTTTTTCCCCTAGTAGAATAGAGAACAATAACAACGTTAAATGATCACCTCTCCGGGAGGTCTTCAGCCCAACTCCTTTGCCCGGGGAAAGGCATTTGTCTGGGATTTTTTTTTTTTTTTTTTTTTCCCTTGTAGAATAGAGAACAATAACAACGTTAAATGCTTAAGGAGTAGTCATTGATACGGCAGCGGGGGCAGCTTCTTTTTTAGAAATTGAGCTCTGTCTTCTCCAGGTGCACGCAATTAGATGCAGGCATGTTGCAAAGATGTGAAAAATCTATATAGATGTACATTGTAGATGCAATGTAAGTAAAAAAACACCACGGAGAACAGATACATGTAGCATCACAGAGTTGAATGTATTTTGAAAGACTGACCCTCCCACCCACCTTCTGACTTATTTCGAGGCACCAAGCTCTTAACCCCGAAGAACTTCACCTCAGGCAGAACCGGGGAGACTCTGGCAGAGAGATTCCTCCCCACAGGGGCCACACCGCTTCCTTGCTACCGACATGACAGAAGAACGACACCCCACTCCGTGTCCCCCCCTCAAAAAAATAATCATTTTAGGAAGCTGGAAGAAGAGAAAGCTGAGGAGAATCCTAAAAACGGTGGGATTTACCGAGCTCCCCTGAGGAGGTCAGGCCTTCCCGCCCGGCTCCTCACCGGGGCCCGGGGCC